TTTCCCTGATTGCCCAAACACCATGAATTCAGTTTTGCTCAGACTGTAAGGTGTTATTTATTAGTGAATGTCTGCTCCAGAGAATGTAATTCAGTGGAAGTGTGGGTGGCAGTGAGAGAGGCGTGCTGCCTTGGAGGATGTCTGCTGAAATGGATCCATACCACAGTGGTACTCTAAGCAATGAGAGCCAGGCAGGCTCGAGCCAGGGCAAAGAAAAGGACTTTCCTTGGGCAGGAAATGGCTGAGGGTGGTGAAACACGGTGCCCCTGCTTTCTTTGCTTGTGCCGGAGCTTGGCTGCTGCCTGTAAGGGAGAGGCCAAAGGGTACATGGGCTCCCCAGGATGTTACCCTCATCCTTCCCATCTTCCCTGCAGCATCAGTAGCAGTCTTGACTTTTCAGACTTCCTTTTCAGCTCTCCGGTCTCACCCTTCCTCCTCCTCTGCCTTTTCCTGGACTGCCAAAGCGGCAGGTTGACCTGGGCTCTTGCTCAGGATGCAAAACTCAGATCGCCCTTATCTGCCAAGGAGCCTTGAGCCAGGCTGGAGACAGCTGCAAAATCAATCCAGGTCTAGTAGCAGCATGAGAGTGAGAATCCTGTTAGCATGAATCTTAACTTTAAGGATGCAAACGTAGAACATAAAGCCTAACACAGCAAGCAGATGAGCTCCATAGAGTTTCTGTCATAGCCTTGAATGTTAATATAAGATTGTGTATCCAGAACATATTTGTTTTATTAACGTGGGTTTCCCTGTCTCCTACTGTTTTCCAGGGGACAGAAGTATTTTCCTTTGCTATGTAGTTTCTCCTAAGGAAAATGAAATACATCACAGGGCAAGTTCTGTGACAAATTGTTTCTAGTCTATTTAGGCACCTCTGCCCTCAATTTCATTCTTGTGCTTGTTCATGCTGGATAGAAGAAACTGTACCTTTTCACTCTATTTTTGAAGAAGACTACTTTAGTTCACTTGGTATTTTTGATACCTAAGTTTTGTAGACCAGTATTAATCTATATAATCAGCTTTTGGCTTGTCAATTTACACATATTTAAAAATTAATTTAAAAATATAAGTGTCTTCCAATTAACTTTGGCAAACCATTTATTATTATTCAGCTTCCCAGCATTGCACTGGCTGTGTCAGAGAAGTCCTGAAATTAACAGGTCTGGAATCTGTGAAGGACACGAAGTCCTCCTTTGCAAGCAGACTAGGTTCTTCTAGTTATTATTATAATATCTTCCTATTATATACCTGTTAGCACTTAAAATTTTATGTCCTGTCAGAAAGGCTGTGTTGTCATTTTAACCTTCTGGAAACTGGACTGAGATTGAATTGAAAATGTCACTCTCTTTTCCCTCACAGCATCTCATATTTTTTTGTTATACATGGGTGATTATTCTAGAAGAAAGGTTGCATTTTTAAACACAGAACTTTGCCTTGACCGGGTGATTTTGAAGCTGATCAGCTGGTATAACAACAATGAAAGTTAACTTTTCCTTTGCTTTCCAGAATAAAGAGTGACTAAATTTTCCCCCTCTGTTTCCCTTTTTATTTTCTTTTATCTAGTTTGAAGAAAACATTCTAGATGCTTGCCTGTTCCTGATGGACAAGGCAGAATTGGAGCTCTCCGGGCGTGGAAACCCGATCAAAATCTGCCGTGTTGCCTCTGCAGTGGTATGTAATAGGTGCCTAAGAGGTGTCAGAAGTGACTCGTAAATCAAAGCCAAGCTGGTTTATCTGGCCCTTGTGCCCCAAGGTGCTCACTGCAGCAGATGCCAGATCAATTGTCCATTCTGACCTCTGGGGTCTGACATTTTATTTTGCTCCCCTAAAGGTGAAATATTTCTGTCAGTTCATTGCCTTTTCCTCATGGTGGTACTTCATTGGTAGGAAGGCCACTTTAAGACATTCCACTCCAGGCATGACAGCATTTCTTGTGGTACTGTGGTCACTGTCTGGTAGCTGAGGAAACTGGGAAAGCTATTTCTGCCATGTATGTTAAGGTGGCATGATGAGTGGAATTTGGGATGTGAAATTGAGAGACTTTATATGGACTTCACCACTAACCTCAACAGGGTCTTGAGACACTGCCACAGTGGATGTCCTTGTGTCTCATTTTTCAGCCCCTGATGGCCTAGTCAAGCTGATGACATTTAGGTAGGATACCCTGGCCCAGAAGAAGGCACTGTGAGAGCTGTGCTGTTAAACATGGGGCCCACAAGACTTACTCTATTCAGAATGCAGGTTCCTAAAATAATCAGAAGCAAAGGGTAAGGAGAAGACTTCCCACACTTCAATTCTTTCCAGCTGCTAGGCACCAGGAGTGCCCTGTCCCTGGTATGCAAGGTGAAAGACTCATTCAGGAAGTGGAAGACAGAGGCTGAGTCCCCTCCCCTGCCTTATAGCGGTCTGAACTGATGCCTTCTGCTTCCCAGAAGAATACCCTAGTTATCAAGCTAGTGTCAGTAGATGTTCTCCCAAGTCAGCTACTAAAATAGACTGTCCATGAAACATGGCTGCTGGAGATGAATGGTCCTTTAACCAGCTTTTTACAGCATTTGCCCAGGCTTTAAGAGAGTGAGCTCTTTGTCTTAGAAGACATTGAAATGGGATCTCCAGCCTCTCAGTGCCACATGCTGATTCTTGCATAGCATCATGTTAAATAGAATTGCAGGAATTCTTTGAGACCATCCCCACTTCTCTTTCTCTTTTAACCTTTTGGTTAGTTCTTTCACTCCAAGCAGTAGAAATATGGTTTCAGACCTTCAGATAGAAGTAAGAATTGAATTTGTTTCTCTCATAACTGTAAAGGGTCCCTCATAGAAGCCTTGAGGGAAAAAGAACACAAAGATTATGAACCCAAAGAGAGTTTGGATATTACTTGGGTTTTGGGCCACTCAGTCATTTTAGGGAGGTGGAGAAGTTCGCGATTGGAAATCCAGGAGTCATAGAATCATAGAATCACAGAATCGTTAAGGTTAGAAAAGACCTCAAGGATCATCAAGTCCAACCGTCAATGCAGCAGCACCTAACCCACTAAATTATGTCCCTAAGCACCACATCTACACATTTATTGAACACCTCCAGGGATGGTGACTCCACCACTTCCCTGGGCAGCCTGTTCCAATGTTTGATTACTCTTTCAGTGAATAAATTTTTTCTAATATCCAGCCTAAACCTCCCCTGGTGCAACTTGAGGGCATTTCCTCTTGTCCTATCACTTGTTAATTTAGAGAAGAGGCTAGCGTCAATGGACTTTAGGTCTAATCTGCAGGATTAGGCCATAGCTGGGTCAAAGTTTTGGCCATCTGAAATCCGGACCTCAGTAAGAAGCAGCCAAGAAATGTTGAAGTCTCACCCATGTTCCTTACCCTTATTCTTGCTCAAGTCGAAATGTGGTAGAGCTGAGCTTGTCTGAGGAGGTGCCCCCGTGCTGGGATACTTCTGAAGCTTCCTGACATTGCAGGGCAGGCAGAGTTGCCTCCTTCTTCCTCTCTTTACAGCCAGAGGAGAGCCTGAAGATCAACACACTGCCCTGTCCTTGAAGTCCCTCTTTGTCTTGGCATGTTTCCCACAACAGTGAGATGGGCACAACCCCTTAACCTTTTGGTTATGACTCTGAATACTTATCTTTATTCAGTCCTAGGGTTCACAGGAAGTCGATTTTCTAATTATAAAACAGTAGTTAATCCAGCCAAAAGCTTTTAAATGAGAATTGTGATTTATTTGTCTGGCATGTAGCTGTTCCACATTAGCATAATTAAAAGGTACAGAGCGAATGAGCTTTTTGCACAGCCTCAACTGTTTTGGTTCAAATTGCAGCTAGGAGATGTATTGCTCGTTAATGTCTATCAGTATAGCCATTAGTCAGCAAAACTCTTTGCTTTGTATAATCTTACCAGGCAAAAACTTACAAAGCAAATTCCTTCTTGTTTTCATGTGTGCTGGACTGAAGAAATTAGTTTCCACTCTAAAAATAACAGTGGACTTGTCCTGCTCTCAATCTGCTGTAAATCAGGAGTGATTTTATTAAAATCTCTGGACTGATACAGACAGAAAAACAAATGATCTTAGGAAAAATCTAGCTTAGTATTTCTGAGACTTGCTTATCAGTGTATAACTGATCATGTTTATTAAAAATGCATAGCAGTAAGCATGTTTAATGTTAATAAAACTTACTAAAATGGCAACATGGATAATCAGTGCGGTGATTTAATTTCACCATTATTTTTACAACTAAGACCTTCATTCCAAATTGTTCAGTGATGGAGAATCCATGGCCCTTAGCAAGATGGTCCTATTCATCTCCTACCTTCATAATTAAACATTTCTGTCTTCTAGCCTAGACTTGGCTATTTTCAGTCTCTCCCAGCCTATCTTTGTCTGCTGGGTTAAAGAGATCGTTATTATTCAGTCTCTGACATCCCTAATATGCGTTTCCTTTGACTTTAGATCAACTCCAGGGATGATAACGGTGTGATTGCTGGATCCTGGGACAATACGTACACTTACGGAGTCGCACCTTCAGCCTGGACGGGAAGCGTGGACATTCTCTTGGAGTATTACAGTTCTAAGCAACCTGTGCGATACGGCCAGTGCTGGGTCTTTGCCGGTGTCTTCAACACATGTAGGTATCAGTGAGAAAAGGTCCACCCCGATATATGATTCTTGCATAACAGAGAGAGCTTTTAGGTTAAACTAGCTAAAATACTTCTGTGTCTATGGTGTTCAGGAGTAAATAGTAGAGACACTTGAAAAGACATGGCTAAAATAGATGCTCTTTATATAAACTTTTGGCATCTCCTTCAGTTTGGCTGCTCTTCCGCACAAATCTGTTAACTATTTAATTGTTCAGTAAAATGTGTTCAGTGACTCACAGAGGGTAAGTTTGGGAGAGACAAAGTTAGTCTTTTGGCACACTCCACATTTCTGCTAGGAAATCTGAGATGAACAGGGGCTTCTTACCTAGACTTGCAACATGAAACTGTTACCCAATATGGAATATGTGGTGGTGTATCTGCTCCAGAACAGCTAAATCTTACCTACTGAGGATTGTTCCTAGCAAGACTGATGTGCACTGTCCCAGCACCTGTCTACTGATCTCTGTTAACATTTTCTATGGAGTTTCTGAGCAAGAACAATGAGGAAAATGCTGGCCTGATTTATGAATTGTGTAAAAGTGTGAAAAATGTGCATTATACAGATAGTGGGGACCAGACATTGGAAGCAATGCTTATGTCAAGTGCCAGCATAGAGCCAGTCAAGCAGTTCCTGTGCTTATGGCACTGGCCAATAGAAGAAGCTGAACAGAAACTAAAAGTGTCTTTCTTAAGCCCAGGTGATCTTCCTTAGAGGTACTTACAACATATGCATTTAAGTATCAAACTGGAGGTGTGGGACCAGATCAGCTTAGGAACAATGGGACACAATGGGACACAATAGGTATTTCTGCAGGCTTGGAGCCTACCTTGCATCAAGTGCTTCTCAGCCACAGCTGAAGGTCTAAGCTTTGGTCCTTGTATTTAAGATGTGAAAAGGAAATTACAGGAAAACTCACTGTGAAACATTTCACTTTTTCGTCCCCCTCAATAGTGTCACATGTTGCTGTCTCAAGGAATAGCATTATACTTCTCTTTACATTATACTTGGATCAAAAATGAAGGATATTAATCACCCATCTTCTGCAGCAAACATGGAAATTGAATAATTAATAACAAGTTACAAGACTAGTTCTTCTCCCTCAGGCAGCCCTGGACATCTCTGCGTTTTCACTCTTATTTTTTCCTGTTCTGTAGGTGTATGTTTCATGTTGTATATAGTTTTCCTCCAATCTGGATAATTGAATTTCATAACTCATTTTGGTTACCTGAGGTAGTTCAAAAGCTATTCAAAACCAGCAAGGACCTCAGAAGTAAAGCTGTGTTCTGACCACCTAGCCTTCTGCTGGCATGTGCTTCTCACAGCTGCAGCAGGGGATGCAGTTTCAGGTTCTCTGCTTCTCTTTCATATATCTATCTGGCGGGTTCCTGTTTTGATTTGAGGAGGTGCTGGCAGGTGCTCTGTCCTTCAACACATGAAATGGTTCATTTTATTCCTGGTGCAGTGAGATAATGAGCAATCACCCACATCCAAAGAACCTGAGAGACATCTGCTTACTTCACTGCCTGAGGTCGCATGGTCTGTACTTGATGCTCCTCAGCCTCTGCACAACACAGTGGGTTCAAAAAGGCTCTTGCAAATGTTTCCTGTGGATGCAATTCCTCCAGTGGCTTCTATGGGCCACTTTGTCTTCTCTGCCCATTGCCTCATCTGTATTTCTCTAGGTCACAGACACACACACCAGTTCCTCCCACCTTCCCCCCGCACTGGCCCCAAATCACCAGTATGCAGTATTTTGCCTGCAGGCCACTGTGAAACTGGGGCGAGTCAGCAGAGGGCCGGAGCCTGCTATGTTAAATGGAGAGGCGTATTTATCTGGGGCAAAACTAGACTCAGTTTGCTGACTAAGTCAAGTCAGAGACCTGTGTTGTAGTTTCAACCTGGCACTTTGTACTGCTGCAAGGATTGCCGATGTATAAAGTTTGTTGAGCATTATGAAATGAAAATGTTGTCCAGTGGCTGATCTGATACACAGCCACTGACACATCCAGCTGCTGACCACTGCACGGAGAGGAGAGCAAAGGTCTAAACAGCTGTGTGCAATTGAAAGGGTAGGTTTGAGCTGATTTTGAGTCTTTCTCAGCTGACAGTGTTTTATCATTGTGACCAGTCCAGCTTTCCAAGGTTACTATATTGTACACTCTGGATAGTCGTCTGCTAAAAATGCTAAAACATTCTGAAAAATGGTCATTAATCTTGAAATTGTCAGACAAATTCTTTCCACTGAGCCCTGATGGCTCGTGTGGTGGAAGCCTGCGAGGGCACTTGAATTAAGTTTAATCAATAGGTACATATGGTATTGGATGCATCCAGGTAATTTGTCATCCAGGAACTTCAAATGAATGTGCATTACACTTTATTGGGCGTCACAGTAGTGACACTAATGAATGTACAAAACCCAGCAGCATCAGCAAGGGTTGTTCAACATTGCAATATTGGAACTATTTTCAAATAGGATTTTCAATAGAAATGTGTTTCCTTTCCAAAAACACCCCTCTGTTTTCTGCAGAACCATGTTGGCTCCTAAGTTGAAAAACAGGAACTTTTTTTGGCTGAGAGACAAATTATTTCATCTTGAGAAGTTGAGATGATGTGTCACCCACCCTACAGCCCCACTCCCCTCTCCGGGCCGTGCTCCATGCCTATTTATCAGCCTATTTATTATAGGGTGCACCACAAACACAGAAGCCTGACGATGCACTACTGCACTTCAGATGTAACCATAGTGTTTCCACATTTCCCAAATTTGCCACTTGCCAAATGGTAAGAAGAGCCATCAGTGCTACATTGTGACAGTCTGAGATTTAGGGGTAGGGGCTTTGGATCCTCCTTTTAAGATCCTTCGTGGGAAGGGACTATTGACTCCAAAATACTATTACTTAGCAATCAATACAAATTATAGAATGTATTTTGTTCAGACTCTCTGACTGTGACATTTCACTTGAAAATAGCACAGCTTTTCCCTCTTGTTAGCAATAATTTTCTGCTTTATTCTTTGTGTTCTCCAGATCCCTTCTGATGGCAGATGTCAAACAGGAAAACTCCAAATCAACCAAAAGGAGATACTTTCTATTAATTTTCATTTTAACATAGTCTCATGATTCTCCTGGGCTACTGATACTAGGAGACCTAATATATTTTTCATTTCTTGCAAGTTCAAAATTATATTTCTTTATGCTGCATTTGGTCATGCAGTTGACCCATTGCACCCAGATTCTCCCTGAAAAGCTACAGTGTGGTCACTATGCAAGACTATTCTAAAACTATTGTAATCAGCTGCTTAGGTTATAACTATTGTACCATTACATATCTTGAATGCTCATCATTTTGGGACCAAATGAAATATTTAACATATTCTATATAAAGACAGATAGGAGGAATTATTTGGGTTGATTTGACTGAGTTTTCCCACTTCATTCTAGTTATTAATAGTTTCTCTCTACTCACTCTGTCATCCATGAGCACAGACTTCATATTTGTCCTTCTCATCACACTTCTCTCTGACACAGTTCTGAGGTGCTTGGGGATACCTGCAAGACTTGTTACCAACTATTCTTCTGCCCATGATAACAACGCCAATTTACGGATGGACTTCTTTCTGGATGATGAAGGGAAAGTGGACACGAAAATTACAAAAGACTCTGTCTGGTGAGTTCTCCTGGCAAATGCCTTTAGTATGTCAGCTATATAAGTAGTAAAAAACTTGACAGCAATGTCTGGGGTTTATTTATTCCTCTGTGCATTAAAGAACACTGCTAGCTTAGGTAAAACAGAATGAATGGGTTGTTAGCAAGCTAACTAATATGAAGTGCTTGTCATGTAAAGAGGCAAACCCTAGGGAAAGTGTGAGATCACTACTAATGTTACCATTAAGTATACTGCACATTTAAGCACACTGGAGGAGAGCTGGAATTGGTTTGTGCTCCTTAAGGCCAGGCCGCTTCTCAAAATGGAAAGGAGTAGTATGGCCACTTCCATCAGTTTGGAGCCAGGCTCAAAGGGACACATCAATATCTATGGAAAAGTACCCTTCTTGTTCTGCTTCTCCCCAGTTCCCCCGTTATAAACTGGTTGTACATTGTGTACATGTACTAATCATCGCAAATATATACTTTCCAAAATAAATCCAGTTCAGCCGAAAAAGAAACAAGCCAAGGTATCATAGAAGTTGCTGAAGTGCTATCACCAGTTTTACAAAAAGAAAACTCCCTAGGAACAAGAAGTGGAGTTTGTGTATTTTTTGGAGAAGGCTGTCCTCTGACTTCCTCCTTGAACTCTTATTGTCTCCTGTCTGACAGAGGTGTAGCTACGTATTGATTACATGTTCTGCTCAGTAGAGATTAAGTCTGGGTTATTGGGCCTCAAGCCTCTCCTCCTCAGAGTGAAGCAGTGAATGTGACCTCTATATTCCTATATTCAGGAGATACTTGTCCTATTCAGTGTTAATATACCTGATTTGTGTCAATGGTATCTTCAACACATCAGCATAGCTGCTCATCAGCATGTTTCATTAACAACTTAATCTCTGGAAGTCTTTGTGTTAAAACTGTAATAAACCCATTCTGTGGTGGAGAAAATGACTGAACCTGTTGCTGTAAGCTTTTATGTGATTTCTATCATCTGTTACCAAGAGGGAATCTAAGGAAAACAATTAGGTTCATTTACATCTGAAGCTTGTAATAGTTGAGACTGGAAGGGACGCCTGGAAGTCATACAACCCCCCTGCTCAAAGCAGTGTCAGCTAGAGCAGGTTGCTCAGGGCTATGTCTAGTTGGGTTTTGAATATCTCCAAGGATGGACACTCCACAACCTCTCTGGGAAACTTGTGCCAGTGTTCAACCATTCTCACAGTGAAAAAGTGTTTCCTGATGTTCAGAAGAAGAATTTACAACCTTCTCAGGGATCAAGATGAGGCTGACAAGTCTGTAGTTCCCTGGTACTCCTTCTCTTTCTTGAAGAAAGGAGTGATGCTTGCTTTCCTCCAGTCCTCAAGAACCTCTCCCAATCACCATGACCTTACAAAGATAGATATGAGAGGTCTTACAATGACATTGGCTATCTCCCTCAGCACTTTTGGGTCCATCTCACCAGGTTCATCTGACTTCTGTGTGTCCAGTTTGTTTAAATGTTCTCTAACTTGTTCCTCCTCTACAGATGGTAAATTTTCATTAGTCCAAACTTCCACGCCGGTCTCAGGGGCCGTGATTCCTGAGGGTGAATATTAACAGTAATAACCAAGACAAAGAAGACATTGAATACTTTGGCCTTTTCTTAGTCCTTTGCAACTAGGTCCCCTGCCCCATTCAGCAGCAGACCCACATTTTCCATTGTCTTCCTTTTGATACTGATGTACTTGCCTTTCTTACTGCTCCTCATGTCCCTTGATGTACTGGGTTTGATCTGGGTTTTGGCTTTCCTAAACCTGTCTCTGCATGCTCAGATAGTGGCTCTATATTCCTTGTGGTCTCCTGTCCCTGCTTCTACCTCTTGTGCTCTTTTGGTTAATGTTTGAGTTTAGTTGGGACCACCTTGTTCACTGTGCGGGCCTTGTGCCACTTTTGGTTGATTCCCTGCACATAGGGGTGGACCGTTCTTAAGCTTGGAGGAAGTGACCCTTGAAAAATAACGAGCTCTCCTGGACCCATCTTCTATCCAGAACTGCCCGCCCATC